ATATATTAGATAATTAAATAAAATGAAAAAAAATTATCGTTTAAATTCTGAATAGGCAGGCACAAAGATCATGCAATCTAGACCGTTAAATTCTCATTTAAGAATTGGAAACAAATGCGACTTTATACTGACAGCATGAGTCCTTGATTTTCTTCAATCCAACTTATTAGAAGTTATAGTTGGTATTTAAGTCAAGATCAGCCAGCCATAAATCTTCCTCTATATATAATACTACTTCAATTGGATTAATGATGAGGGTTTGTTTTCCTTTTTCTCTACATTTCTTTCTATTTCTCAGGGTATTCCTCAATGTCTAGCGCTATATTTGGTTGTAACATTATTAATCTTTTTTCCTAATTAAGAAATCAAGGTCGCTTTAACGTTTTAACTTCTGCTTGGGCTGGGCAAAGTCATGTCAGATCAGGATTGGCCATTGTTAGAAGGGAAAAATTTTACTTTCTTCAAACAGGTCTCTTAAGAGGGACAATAACATCAAATATTTATCCAACTATAGGTAATCAACTACCTAAATTATTTTTCTCCATTTTCATACTAAAAATCAAAATATCATTTAAATCTAATAAAAAAATTATTTCTAATACTTTTTGACCAATTCTGTTATGTCTATCATTACCATTCTTAACATAAACCGGATCTAATACATCTACTCTATTAATTAGGTCATTAGACCTAACCATCTAAGGTGACTCTATAATCTTATATGCCATTGGAGCAACTCTAATTCTTTCACGTGTGTACTTAGTTCGCATTCTATCCCAAGAGAGGTAGAGATGTATTCATAGAGTTTCATTAAACTTAAAAGTCATATTATTAATTACAAAATGTCTTTAACTTACTAAGATAACATATAACAACAACATCAAGCCTTTATCCCACAATGTGTGATCAAAATAAACAATATAAATATAGAGCATAATGAACATCAACAAACCAACTATAAAATTTTTAAAATAAACAAATGAGACTTCGGTTTTCTTTGGGACTACTTTCTTTCAGTTTCTTAAAGCAACTTTTTAGTACAAAATTTTTTAATTTTGTACTAGAAATCTGCTTTAAGAAGCAGGAAGAAAGCCGTCACAAACGAAACCGTCATCTAGTGCCATTGAAAAAATATAGTTGTATGGAAGGAAGACTTTAAAATAATGTAAATAATTAGAAATAAACTGATCAACTTGGCTTACACTCAGGCCTGCGAAAATAAGATATGCTATGATGATATACAAAAAAGATGATTACAAATTGACTTTTTTTTTTTTAGGTTGAGTGGTATGACTTGATCAAAGTGCATCCATGAAAAATAAAATAAGCACTTTCTTTTTATGGTGACATTTCTAAGCCTATGAGTGGGGAAAAAATAGTCAGCGGCTCCTCTCCACCCAGGTCTTCTTTATAAGAAACAAAAAGTTGAAACTATATGCTGTCATGATCTTCTTTTCAAACTTAACAAGATTAAAATATAATGCCCAACATAATAAACTACAAACAATTAAGACTTCGTTTGGGACGGTTTTTTTATTGCTTTTTAAAATAGAGTTGTAGTACAAATTTTTTAATTTTTGTACTAAAACTCCGTTTTCAGAAGCAATAAAAAAATCGTCCCAAACGAAGCCTAAGAAATAAAATAAGCACTTGGTTCAGTCTTCCTTCAATTATCTCCTGTACTATTAGACTTCCTAGATACCCACTGAAACTGCACACCTGCACAAAAAGAGGATTGAAACCTCATTATTTTCTTCTATGGCTTTCAATTTAGTTTAAGCTCCTTAAGCATATAAATATATATATATTATGTTCAACTAGGGGAAAACTATAGCGGAAACAATATGAGAAAAAGCTTGTGAAGTTGTAAATAACTACCCAGGAGTTTATTTTACTTTTGTGAATGCCCAGTTTGTAATCAAGTTCTTCAAGAAGTCTAATCCTTGCAAATAAATATGAGCATCATCCTATTTCACAACATCTTTCTTTTCTTTTTATGGCTTGATACTCTATCTAACCGCCATGAAAAATAAGGCTGCGGCTACTAAGTTGGATCAAACAATGGATAGCTATCACATTAACCCACTCAATATTACGACCTCACATCAAGACCATCTGTACCAGCTTAGTTTGCATGAGACCAAGTATGCTTTCTTGTATTTAATACAACCCAATCATTCAGGCCAAGTTTGATTGCATGCCAAACATGCCTATTTTGGGTTACTTATAGCCTAGGCATACATTATATATGCATCTGATACACTCAACCTAAATAAGTATAAGTAATCAAGCTCAAGTTGCCAACAATTTGCTTTGATTCAAGACAAATCTAACATGGTGGTGTAAGTGAGTCAAGCCGACTAATTATGAGTCGGCTCGGGCTCAGCTCAATAATTAGCTCATGAGCTAAGCCTGATGATCTAATTAGTCAAGGTTGCGCCAATCCCATCTCAACTCATAAGCTGGCGAGCAAGCTCGTTTAAAAAATATTAATATAAAATTTACTTAAAATATATAAAAATTCAAAAATTTAAGTAAGAAATTATTAAAAAATATTTGAACATTATACCTCAGTTTCTTATATTAAATAATAATATATTATTTTCTTATAATTTTTTTTTATCATTTTATTATAATAATTGCTTAAATCATATTCATTTTCTCTTTCATAATAAATGAGTCGGCTCAAACCCGTCGAATAAAGCTCGAGCTCCAGCTCGAACTCGATTAATTAATCAAGCTCAAGGTCAAGCCAAGGGTGACTCTAACTTGGCTCGACTCATTTACACCCCTAACCTATGTAGCTATATACATAGGCTGCACCACTTAACACATACATCATTAATGCTTGGTAACGGTGTGCAAAGATACTCAAAAAATTGGCTCAAACTGAACAAAACAATTTGGGTCGGTTCTCACAAGTCATAGTTCAAATCTGGCTCCTAAAATATTTAGAACCAATTTGCTAGTCTGGTAACCAAGAATTAAACTAAACCTAAGCCTAAACGTTAAGGGAAATGTATTTCAAAAACTTCAATAGAAAACTCACATGCGCAAACCTATCATTAATAACTTGCTATAAATATATCGTTTACACTATTTTTAATTTAATGGTTGAACTCAAATGACTTGAAACAGTAGCATTTACATTATTAAAGTGCAAGCTACTAATTTTGTTTAATAAAGATGTAATCGTTACATAATTATTGAGATTAAAATGTTGAAATTTAATAATATAAGATAAGACTAAATAAAAGTTGAAGCAACCTTCCTCTTTCAAAGACACAAATCAAATTAGAATAATGTTAATCTCACGAATATTAATTGGATTAAAAATTTGAACCGGAAGCAAACCAAAAATTCAGAATTGGATTTGGTTTTGGTTCGGTTATTAAGTAATTTGATTCAGTTCTAATCCAAGTAACATTGGAGCTCAATTATGTTTGTTTACGTACCAATTTCAAACATCTATAGATCCAATCAAAGTCAAAGTCAAACTAATTCACATGAAATCAATCCAAGTCAAGATAGGCTCGCCAAAGCCTACAAAGACTTGACCCAAGCGGCAGTGAATAAGACCTGACCCAAGCAGACAACCGTCCTAACTCAAGTCAGGTCATTGACTTCCTTAGACCAACTAAGCAATATGATATTATGAGTTTACCAACAAATATACACGTGTGTATTTAAGCCGTACAATTTCATAGCCTTATCATTATTTTACAGCCATATATGTAGCCAATTCAATGGCTCGTGAAGCCCTAGCCAAAACCCACAAATAGAGGGTCAAAAATGGATCTGTATCGCACTATGCTCTACTTCACCTTGTGTTATAACCAACTCTGGCTTTGATGTGATCCTGAGCATTTTAATATAACTATTGAACTCACAAATACTATATGTTTATACTATGTAATAGTAAAGGGATAGCAGATGATATAGTTCTTTTCCTATGTTACTCTTCTCTTATTCTCTCTGGTTTTTTTGCTTCTCCTATTCTTGCAGGTTAAAGTATTCATTATGGTATCAAAGATCTTGAGTTTCTAAAGCTTTTTTTTTTTCTTTCTTATCTGCTCTCATGGTGAGCAACAAATCTTCCTCTACGGCTTCCACTTTGTTGTCACAGACCACGGTAGAAATATCTTTTCCCGCACAGCTCAAATTCTTAATGTTAAAAGTCAAGACGGTTCTCAATGTTCAGCTAAGAACCAACAATTCCCCCATTTTGTGGTCCCAAATTTTCAAGCTATTTGCAGGTAATCGTTTCACATGTTATTTATATGGTTCTACTACAAAACCTCCCAATCAAGTTCTACTCTCAGATAACTCTCTTACAGTTCATAATGCCTACCATAAATGGATGCATATTGACCAATACCTTGCTTCAGCACGCTTCTCTATAATTTCCTCAACTCTCCTACATTATGCATTCAACCTTGAATCATGTAAGGATATTTGGCTCGTGTTAAACTATCGTTTACAATCTCTAAACAAATTTCGCGTGCTTCAAACTGAGCTTCATCAGCTTCAAATGTGTGATAAAACCATGATGTAATATCTCTCTGAAATCAAGAAATAGGAAGATGATCATATTACAGCAGTCAGTTCTACCATAGAACCTTTAGATATAATCCTCTACACTCTTAATGGATTGTCTCCATCATATAACGCATTAAAAATTGCAATACATACCAAACTACACCCAATCGGTTTGACTTATATGCCTTTGCACTGAAAAAGTTAATATCACAGTTTATCAAGTTTCATAGCACAATTCAGTCACTCAGATAGATTTTTCCTTCATAATTGCAACCTTCTGTGGTCTCTCTCATGGTCATGCTCATGGAAGATTTAATAATGCGCATGGGGGCTGCTCATTTCAGTCACTGGTTCTTGGTGGACAACATTTGTTTGCCTCTGTCAAATACTAAATTTGTGTAAAACCTAGCCACTCAGTTACTTTTTACTAGCACCATATGAACCACTCCTATCAACTGTCTATGCCACAAGTTCTGTCGGCTCATGAAGATGCTTCAACTGCTGATTGGTTCTTGGATTTGGGTGCATCCAATCACCTCACGTTGGATGCCTCTTAACTTCGGTCATCTCCTTGTTACTTTGGTAACTCATATGTGCAGGTTGGAAATGGCCATCACCTTCTTATTGCTCATTCTAGCAAAGGAATTTTACCTACACCATCTTGTAAGCTTCCTCTACCTACATTCTTCATGTTCCCCATGTCAACCATAACCTTCTTTCAGTTCATCATCTCATTCATGATAATCCTTATTATATATTATTGCACTCTAACAATTTACTATTAAGGATTCAAAGAATCATCAGATTCTACTTCAGGGTTCAGCTACCAAGGACTTTATCCTATTATGTACCTAGCTGCATACAAACTTCAACAACATATTACCTCACATGCTGCTTTAATTAGCCTACCTACAAGCTCTTCATGTTGGCATCAAAGGATTGGTCATCCATCTCCCACAACTCAAAAGCGGCTATCAAACACTCTTCTTGTCAACAAGACCTTTACTCCATGTGATTCATGAGCTCTAGGAAAGAGTCATAGACTTCCATTTAATTTAGCTTTGACTAAAACTACAAAATGTCTTGAACTTTTACACATCAATATATGAGGTCCTTTCCCAATATTATGCACACAAAATTTTAGATATTATCTTATCTTTGTAGACGATTTCACAACATATTGTTAGGTGTATCCTCTAAAACTCAAATTATATGTTTTGTCTACAATTATACAATTTAAATAATATGTGGAAAATTAATTGTAAACACCTATCAAAATGATTCAATTAGATAGAGGGGGTGAATTTCTTAATAATAAATTTCAAACTTGCTTAATTCATTTGGAATTTTGCATTGTCTTACTTGTCCATATACTCTACAATAAAACAGTGTTGCTAAATTAAAGCACTATCACCTTTTGGAAACAATGTGAGCTCCTTTATTTGAGGCAAAAATACCACATCATTACTGGGTTGACACACTTTAATGGCTGCTTACCTCATTAACCAGATACCATCCAAACCCATCCATAATACTCCCCATCATACGTTATATCAACAAAAGCCATCATAAGAGCATCTCAGTGTGTTTGGTTGCTTATGTTATCCATGTCTTCCTCTAATCAAACGTCACAAATTAAAACCACACTCTCTACCTTGTGTGTTTTTAGGATATACCACTCAATCCAAAGGTTATAAACATTTGGATCCTCTTACAGGTCATCCACATTTCCAGGCATGTCCAAATCTTTAAGAATGTCTTTCCCTTTTTAAATCCCCCATCTCAATTCCATCATTTACTCAAACAGCTTTCATTCCTCCACTCATTCTAATGCCAACCTCTGTCTTTATTATCAGAGATTCACCTGTTCACTCTACTGTCACTAGACCCCCTCATTCACCTCTCATCCCTCCCACTACATCTTCATCCCCAATTATACATTCTCCCCTACTAATATCCTTTTTAAACAACTCCACTACAATTAATCTACCACCCCAACTCATTCGCCACCCTATGGTTACTCGTCGCCAAACTGGTCACCTTAAACCAAAGAAAATATTTGATTTATACATACTATTATTCCATTATCCCCATCTTCATTCACAAAAGTTAATAAATATCATGCTTGGAGATCTGCAATGTCTGCTGAATTTTAAACTTTACAACAATAAGGAACTTGGTCTCTTGTTCCTCTAAATCCTGATCAAAACCTACTTGGCTACAAATGGTTATGCAAAACCAAGTTCAATTCAGATGGCCCTTTACTATAATTGATCTATGGTTACATAGATTACTCACAGACTTTCAGATCTAAGTTTCATCGCCTACTCTAATTTATTATGATAATGCTTCTGCCTTTTCTTTAGCAAATAACCCAGTGTTCCATGCTCGCACTAAACATGTAGAGGTTGATTATCATTTCATACGGGATTGCATCAAAGCACAATAGATCCCTGTACATCACATAGCTTCTCAAGACCAATCAACAAATATCTTCACCAAAGTATTAACTTCCACTTGATTTTTAGAACTAAGACCCAAGTTAATAATTCAAGCGCCCTTGTAAACTTGAGGGGAAGTGTTAACAGTCATGTGTATATACTCATGTGGCATGAATCACATTCTGCTAAGAAAATAGTTAGTTTTGGAAAATACAACTGTAGGTATCCTTGTTTGCTAAGATGATAAAACTAATTAAGCTTTAATATAAAGTTATGAAGCTTGTGTACAAAAGGGGAAAAAGGAATTCTTCAAAAATTTCCCATGATTAAAAAGGTCATTTGTGTTAATCATTAACAAGCTCAGATTGCCATTTCAATGTTTCCTCTTAAATATAGAAAGTGCACTAGATAACCCAAACTAAAAATGCACACTAACTTTAACTCATTTCAATATAGAGAGGTAAAGAACCATGATTATTTTTTCACCCTTCTGGTGAGGCGGAGAGCCTGGAATCCTTTCACCTTCCCCAGTGCGACGGAGTAGCCTGGTCCTTTGCACCAAAGAGGACTTCTTCCTAAAGCTTCCCTCAAGAAAAACCATAAAACATAGAGGAACTCAGGTGCAAGTTCATCAGAGCAACCATGTGGAACTCCCTCTCACACTACATTGCAACCGACAAGGATCTTCTCCCTTTTACATAAACTCCACCCTTTCTCTCCCAAATTCTAGGCTCTCTCTTCAATCTTTCTTCAGAGGAAAACACTTAAAGATTACCCAAAGGTCTATTATAATGTCTTATGAGAATACTTAAACAGAGGGCTTATAAAAACCTAAAATTTCAATTCAACCAACAAAGATCGTAGAGTACGATCACATGATTGTCCATTATGATATACAAAATTTGACATGTTAGTATTGTACAATCACCAGTTTATACAATATGCTTAATTCAAATTTTCTTGTTAGTACTGTGTGATTTGGATTTCATATAGTATAATCTATTAATATCGTACAATATGAAATAACAGTCATAGAGTATGATTAGTTCAACCAAAATACAGTTTATCCATAATGAAACCTTGGATGACCAAATGTCATCTCTGTCAATCGTATAGTACGATCAAGTTCATATAATACGATAAAAAAAAAATCAAAATTAAGTAGATTTGATTGACTAATCACAGGATGAAATTAGGCAATATTTTAAACATCTATAAGTATGATTTGGTTTATACATTATGAATAGAGCAATATTTCAAATTTAAATTTTTGCTTAATTTAACAAATGGTGGGGTTTCTAATCAAAATAGATATTCCAGTATGATGTGGTGTTCGTACTGTATGATTAGTTATATTTCAAAATTATTTTTTAGATAAATAAATTATTTTAATTAAATTTAGTAATATTAGATTTCCTAGTATGATAATGATCATATAGTATGATGTTTAAAAAATTAAAATATTTAAAATTATTTTTTCTCTCCTTGTGTGTCTACACAGTCACCAGGAAAGCATACACTCATATAGGACTTGACTAAAAATATAAAATAAATAAAGAAAAATTACAGACTCTTTCAACATAACCTATTCTACCAAATCTTAAGCCCTGAATCTTAAAATAATAGTATATGTTGCAACTGAAATATTAGTCAATATACAAATAGATATGCACTACAAATACTACAAGAAATAAAAAGATAATCAATATTATTTATTATCATCAAAAAATTAAACTCAATAGCCTAAGTTGTAATAATCTCCCTTTTTTATGATGGCAAATATTATTGGTTAAATTTGTAAACTAATATTACTTTCTCATAATTTCCCCCTCACTAAGAGAATTACATTTAAATTTTTCTAAGAAAATAAATTTAAAACTAAATAAGATATCAAAAAATACAACCAAATATATTCTCCCCCTTTTATAAGAGATACATATAAATTTTACTTGCTTGTCCTAAGTAAAATTTTAAAGATAGAAAAGAAAAAAACTAAGCCACACAGCACAAAAAGATAATAAAAAAATAAAAATATATAAAAAGAAAATATAACATACAATCATTCATAAAACATAATTATTAAAAAAATGAACAAAACAGATACTAACCTTCCGAGAGTTTTAAAGTTCTCTACCTAAAGCATGCAATGATGTCATTATCTGAGTGAACCTAGTGTAACTATTAAATATAGTCTCATAAGATTTCATATAAAAAAGTTTGTAATCATGCAATAATATGTTCAAACTAGATTGTTGGACTTCACTAGTACATTCATATGTAATGCTTAATCTATCCTAAATCCTTGCCAATGGTATAGTTAGAAACTCTCATATAATCTTCAAACTTAAGTGCATAAAAAAATAATTTAAGCCTTTAGCAATAAATTTTGCAAAGACTTGTTCTTCTGTACTCCATTCAGTAAAAGGAATATTAGTTTGAACTCCATCAATGATACGTGATGGTACATAATAACTAGTTTAAATCATATGTCACAATAAAAATTAATAGATTTAAAAACATAGACATGAAGATTTCCCAAAAATCAAAAGGAATATTATCAAAAAGTTGTGGATGAGTTATTGAATAACCTTATACACCTGCTCTAATACCATTTGAAAATTTGAGAAGGTTATAAACCCTTCATGAACAAGCCTGAGACACCCTAATATGGAAGCTATACTATCTCTTAATGCAAAATCTCTTAAACTTTTCAAGAGTTATAATATTGGAGATGATATTTTAATCAACAGAACATACTATTAACCATAGATTTTTACCAAGCAATTATCACAAAAATAAATCTATTTTAAAATTTTAGCAAATCAAAATGTGCAAAAAAATAAAATACGGGAAATAAGAAATCATAATAAATACATAAAAAAAATTATAATGATTCGGTCAAACATGGCTTATGCCCACTCCCCGAAGTCCTCTCTAAGTATTGCACTATCACTATTGTTTCTCTCCTTTAGCTCCTATAGCTAGATGAAAAAACCCTTACAAAATATATTCCACCTACCTAGTGTGGTAGAGGATCATAATTCTTTTCACCTTCCTAGTGAGGCAAAAAAATCTGTAATCCTTTTCACCCTCTTGATGAGGCAGAGAACCTATGATCCTTTTCACCCTCCTAATGACGTAGAGAACCTAGAATCATTTTTACCCTCCTATTGAGGCAGAGAACCCGAAATATTTGTTCACTCTCGTAGTGAAGGTAGAAAA